GACCAAGATTCTCATGGTGGGCGACCTCCTCGCAGTCATGCAGGTGCAGCAAGAGATCAACGCGATCGTCCACAGCTAGCAGTCTTCTCCAATATTATAGCAAGCTTGCATGCAGTCTTCTACGCCGTCTTGGTTGACTTGAGAAATAAGTACGAGCTAATAAAGATAACCGAGCCAAAGCTGTCGCGACGGTATCGTCAAGGCCGCCGTAGCCGTGGCGTCGACCCGCGCGCAGCATAATCGTGCGTGCGGAAGGCAGCTCGGTTGCGCTCGTTGCGCACCAGCGACCGCAATACACTGTACTACGGACACGACCCTGCAAGCCTATCCAGTGTGATAAACACTGGATGCAACACTGTTTTGAAACACTGTATACATGTGTTTTGGTGGGTGGGCAGTATTGAGAAACGCGGTTCGCAGCGGTTTGGCGATGCGGGACCACTGCAAGTCCAAGTCGTTCCTGCTCGTGCAAGCCGACGTGGCGCGGACCCTCAACATGCGCTCGGGCGAGGAGCTCAAGGAGGTCGCGCAATCCTCCAAGACCTACATATACATCGTCGACGTGCCTGTCTACAAGGACTGCCGCATCCTCTGCATCGCGGGCCTGCCGCATGTGATCGAAGCGGCCATGCGAATGCTCGTGCCACGCATGCAGGAGATCCTGCGCGCCAAGCTCAAGCCGACGTTCGAGACCGCCAAGTACCTGCACAACAAGTCGGTGGTGCACATTCGATCCGACTTTGCGGCGTACCTCTTGGAGCATGCGTCCGCGCGCCTCCAGCACGTCGCCGACGCCACTCATACGCACATCTACATTGAAGACGTCGAGGAGATGGAGATGGCGACGCCCCTGCGCCGGCTGCACGTTACGGGCGCGATCGACAACGTCAAGGCCGCTTGCAATCGGCTCCACCAAGTGCAGGTCGAGTTTGAGGCGTTGCCGTCGGACCCGACTCGCCTCGTGTATACACTCCGCCTTATCTTGCTCAACCGCGACGTAGCAGAAGTCAACAACATGCGCATGGTATTGAGGTACGAACGGCTTCAAGTCGAGACCAAGGTGCTCAAGCAGGTGTCCAACCTTCCGAACAAGACGCTCTTTGTGCTGACGGGGACGCTCGAGAACCTGTACGCAGCCCACTTTGCGACGGTCGAGGCAATCAACGAGGG